CCCTTATACCTACCTTAATGCCGAAAAGTCGAAAACCGCAGCCCTGTTAGAGATGCCAAAGTCAGAGAAGCTATATTGAACACCAAAGCCATTGTTTCCAAAACACACGTCACGATAAGAGCGGTCAAACTTGTAGTAGGCTATGGTGTCATCGTTACATGGGTCAGGTTCTCTGTCTATATGGAAGGATGCAAAACGATTTGTTTCATGTACACACGTAAAAACGCACAAGTTGTTACAGGTCTGCAAACAAGTTGTCACAAATCTGTTCACAAGCTGTCAACAAGTTGTGTTCGCACTGCTTGTTCCCAGTTGTTGTAACAAGTCTGGAACAAACTGTTAACAACTTGTAACAAGCTTGATAGCACTATCAGACTTGTAGCAAAGTTGTTCTAACAAGTCTTACACAGTCATGATATAACAAGAATGTTATTATAGGTTGACGACAAAAGGTTGTAACAATATTGTTATATCATGACTGTATCGGACTTGTTGAAACACACTTGCAACAAGCCTGATAATATTAACAAGGTTGTTACAAGCTGTTGCTACGAGCTTGTTGTCATCAACTTGTTAACGTTAACTTGTTTCGTGCAGACGATATCAGACTTGTTCAAGCTTAGTAGTCGAATATTGCAGCTATTTGTGAATGAATTGTTCTTGTAAGGAGATATTTACCATGTCTCTAAGAAATGGGCCCCATATATGATTTCTAAACTGATTAAATGATGCTCCTATTATTCTTTGCACGCTTAGAGTTTAAGGTTTAGAGTTTAAGGTTTGCAAAGGACAAGATATTGATTATGAATGGACCATTTGCATTATAGACTAAATTTTGATCTAGACAAAAATTAGTAATATTCCAAAGTTTCGTTGCGAAATGTTGTAAAATGCGGATAATATAGCTTTGCGAAATTTGCAATTTTCAGTCATTTTGTATTACAAACCGGAAATTGATGCCCCAACACCCGATTGGGCTGTCAATTTCCCGTGCGTAATACAAAATGACTGAAAAACGGCAAATTTCGCATGGCTATATTATCCGCATTTTACAACATTTTGCAACGAAACTTTGGAATATTACTAATTTTGTGATGCTCTTTCAAGCTGTGATGAAATTTTTGTCTAGATCAAAATTTAGTCTATAATGCAAATGGTCCATTAGCACACCCTAAAATACGGTTAGCACTATTTTCCATCCAGTAAACCGCCCTATCGATTTTCTAAAGTCTTTCCGTTTTTGGATTTTTGTTATTAATTCGGTTAGGGTTAGAGTTAGGGTTGCGGTTAGGGTTAGGGGTTAGAGTAATGGTAGGGTTTGGGTTAGTTACATTGCCATTTAACACCTCTTCCATCTTTCGAAAATCACGTCAGGTCAGTTTGCTGGATGGAAAATAGTGCTAACCCTAAAATACTTATAATAGGCAATTCCCATTATAGACTAATTTTAAAACTAGGCAAAGAGATGCAAATAAATCCCCACAGCTAGAAAGAGCATACTAAAATGAGTAAAATTGCAAAGTTTGGTTGCGACTGAATGGAGTTTGACTAAATACTAAAATGAGTAAAATTGCAAAGTTTGGTTGCGACTGAATGGAGTTTGACTAATGGTCGCGGGTCGCGTGTCGCGGGTAAAAAGTCGCGGGTCGCGGGCAAAAAGTCGCGGGTCGCGGGTAAAATGTCGCGGGTAAAAAGTCGCGGGTCGAGGGTAAAATGTCGCGGGTAAAAAGTCGCGGGTCGTAAAAAAGCTCTAAACCGTGTATTTTATTGAGTCGCGAAAAGTCGCGGGTCGTAAAAAAGCTCTAAACCGTGTATTTTATTGAGTCGCGGGTTGAATAAAGTGTGTAAAAATCACATTAACATTTAGTTATTTAATGGTTTTAATCAATAGTTGTTCGAAGATGTTATGGCTGCAATTGCGAGTTTCTAGATAAATATAGACAAGAACCATATAACATTATTGTAAAGCACGTTGATAGACAGTAGTGCAAAAGGATCTTAGTAATACATATTACAATCCAATTTCTTACCATATCAGGCGTAAAAATCCGCTATTCAGTAGCTCAGTGCGCGTTGTCGTCAAGCCTTTGCGCATCGATCAGTACTTTCCAGAAACAAGTGCTACAGAACAGCAACTTAAATATCCGGGTTGTTGGTGAATCATAATGTACTTTTATAATGTCCTAGCATGGATATATCTATTATTTGTGATACTATATGGTTCTTTTTAAATTAGTATAAAACTGATTGTAATAGTAGTGGTAAACTGAATTTATTTCTACCGAAGTCTTGTTTGTTTCTTTCAGAACATATTTTTTGATTAGAGGATTTTTGTCATGGTATAATTGTTGGTTTAACATATTGAAATTATTCTTTCAAGTTTTAGGCTTCTGGCACGTTTATATAGAACCATTAAATCATGACAAAAGGCTCTTGGGCAATATTTCGTATTGAAATTGAAGCAATCCTATATGGTTGTTTACTAAATGATAACGTGATTTTTACACACTTTATTCAACCCGCGACTCAATAAAATACACAGTTTGGAGCTTTTTTACGACCCGCGACTTTTTACCCGCGACATTTTACCCGCGACATTCTACATGCGACACGCGACTTTTTACCCGCGACACGCGACCATTAATCAAACTCATTAAATCATGACAAAAGGCTCTTGGGCAATATTTCGTATTGAAGCAATCCTATATAGTTGTTTACTAAATGATAACGTGATTTTTATACACTTTATTCAACCCGCGACTCAGTAAAATACACGGTTTGGAGCTTTTGCGACCCGCGACTTTTTACCCGCGACATTTTACCCGCGACCCGCGACATTCTACCCGCGACACGCGACTGTTTACCCGCGACACGCGACTTTTTACCCGCGACACGCGACTTTTTACCCGCGACACGCGACCATTAGTCAAACTCGACTGAATGTTGTAAAATGCGGAAAATATAGCCCAGTTGCAAAGGAAATTGCTACCATTTTAATTTCCGCCCAAATGTGGTAGCAATTTCCGCACGCAATACAAAAGTATAGGCAAAACTTGCGAAATTTGCAAGGCTATATTTTCCGCATTTTACAACATTTCGCAACCAAACATTGCAATTTTAATAATTTTAGTATGCTCTTTCTAGCTGTGGTGATTTATTTCCATCTCCTTGCCTAGTTTTAAAATTAGTCTATAATGGGAATTGTCTATTATGACAACTACGCTGTTCTCGTCCGTCCGCCTCTTCGCTCTCCGTCCATTCTGCCATACGCGTTTCACATTAACACTTCAGAACCTCGTTTACACTATTACAGTCAATTTCAGCTCAAATGTTTTCACTCGAATGTTCCGAACTTCGTTCCGAACTTCGCAAATTCGTTGCCAAGTTCAAAATTAGTTCATAATGAAATTCACAAACGGGTTTGTAAACTGGGCATTTGATTGGCTGGTTTAATTTAATAGCCAATCAGAGGCTTTGTTTACAAACTTGTTTGTGAATTTCATTATGAACTTTTGAACTTGGCAACGAATTTGCGAAGTTCGGAACAAAGTTCGGGGAATCTTACGGTGAAAAGTCAGCTGAAATTGACTGTAAAGTTTCTGGGATCACAGTAGGAATTTTGCATGGGTAAATTCTAAGTTTCGAAGGATTTGTAAGAAATGTTTGAGGAGACTGACAAAGTGTTTAACACTGAGCCAATTCCCTCAAACATTTCTTACAAATCCTTCAAAACTTAGAATTTCTGACCTACGCAAATTCCTGCTGTGATCATAGAAACTTTAATAGTCTAAACCAGCCATAAGACGCCACTGTATTCAAGTGTGCTAATACCATATCATACCATACATACCAGATACTTATATCTATTGAATTTCTAATAAATAATGTCACAGCACGATAATTATAAACGCTGTATTATAAGACCTATTACGATCAGTCTCAATATATTGGCGCCTTGCGCAGCGCGATTCCGACAGGATAATACATCCGCGTCTATTTTTAAACCGTCCGCCAATCACGATCGGGTATTCGTCAATCCGCTTTGCCGACATCATTTCATTTCTCCGCAAACCGATCGTCCGCTACTCATTCATCCGCCTTCCGCATTTTACGATCCACTTAAATATCAAAATTATCGCTGAGACACATTGTGTTTAAACATTGGATAAGTGTGGGCAGTTAAGATGGCAGGCATTCCTCGTCTTTACAACTATAGAAATGTTATAAATAATAGCACTGCGGGGTAATTATAAACACATACAATTATCAGGCATGCCTTGACCTGTCTCGCTGTGTTGACGCGTTCGGCAGTGCGATGTTGACACACGTTTGGCGACAAGGAATGACAAACACGCAAGTACATAGTCATAACGCTGACTTTGCGGGGGAAATGCACTAAGAAATACCATTAACTCCAACAATTATGATTTTTGTACAACATCAGAGATCACTTTAACCCTTTGTGGCAATGTACCCCGATGAGCCCTTCTTTTAATAACAAGGTCGAGATTGCTGGTGACTGTGTTTGTATCAGTTTGTGGCAATCTTCAACAAAACTAGTTTGGCCCATTCGGTGAATTCCTTAAGTTACTACATACAGGAGGAAACTAAACTAACTTTATTTATACTGGATAGCTCTATCAGTTCTAAACTGTTCTTCCTAGAGATCCAGTAAGAGTCATCTCTTATTGATCCAGTGTTACTACAGGAGGAAACCTAAACTAAACTAACTTTATTTATACTGGATAGCTCTATCAGTTCGAAACTGTTCTTCCTAGAGAACCAGTAAGAGTCATCTCTTATTGATCCAGTGTTACTACAGGAGGAAACCTAAACTAAACTAACTTTATTTATACTGGCTTGCTCTATCAGTTCTGAATCGTTCCTCCTAGAGATCCAGTAAGAGTAATCTCTTATTGATCCAGTGTTTGAAGTGTTACTACAGGAGGAAACCTAAACTAAACTAATTTTATTTATACTGGATAGCTCCATCAGTTCTAAACTGTTCTTCCTAGAGATCCAGTAAGAGTAATCTCTTATTGATCCAGTGTTACTACAGAAGAAAACCTAAACTAAACTAACTTTATTTATACTGGATAGCTATATCAATTCTAAACTGTTCCTCCTAGAGATCCAGTAAGAGTCATCTCTTATGGATTCAGTGTTACTACTGGAGGAAACTTAAACCAAAGTAACTTTATTTACACAGGACAGCCCTATCAGAACCTTGATAGGGTAAAACGCTACGCACGTACGACTAATATATAATCCTAGCCTCGATATTTTTCCTCAATCCTCGACCATGACTCAACCACATTCCTAAGATTTAATATCGCTTATTTTGTCTTTGTGTTAATAATTACATAAGTATACTCAGCGGGCTCCGCTAAACACACGCTGGCTCGAGACTTGTTCTGACTTGTATCCCGACTGTTACAATGTAGCCCGCATGGGGTCGAGGCTATTATGATGCCTCATTAAACAAACGAATTTTTTCTATGCTTTTTAATCCCTCTAGAATGACACGAGAATTTTGCTATTGTATCCATTTGAAATAAAAATAGCTTGCTATTATCAGATGGAATGCATGTATTGAAAAGCTGTCCCTTTAAACCTTTTAATAATAATTCGCCGAAATGAAACACAAATTGCTGAGTTCAGCGATGTTATGTGTGCTTTTAATTAAAGTGATCTGATGTTGTACAGAACTCACTGCTGAGTTAAGCATGGTTAGATCATACAGAGGTAGTACATGTTCTTCAATGTTGGCTACCTTAAAGTGATCTGATGTTGTACAGAACTCACTGCCGAGTTAAGCATGGTTAGATCATACAGAGGTAGTACATGTTCTTGAATGTGAGCTACCTTAAAGTGATCTGATGTTGTACAGAACTCACTGCTGAGTTAAGCATAGTTAGATCATACAGAGGCAGTACATGTTCTTGAATATGAGCTACCTTAAGTAATCTGATGTTGTACAGAACTCACTGCTGAGTTAAGCATAGTTAGATCATACAGAGGTAATACATGTTCTTGAATATGAGCTACCTTAAAGTAATCTGACGTTGTACAGAACTCACTGCTGAGTTAAGCATAGTTAGATCATACAGAGGTAATACATGTTCTTGAATATGAGCTACCTTAAAGTAATCTGACGTTGTACAGAACTCACTGCTGGGTTAAGCATAGTTAGATCATACAGAGGTAATACATGTTCTTGAATATGAGCTACCATAAAGTAATCTGATGTTGTACAGAACTCACTGCTGAGGTAAGCATGGTTAGATCATACAGAGGTAATACATGTTCTTGAATATGAGCTACCATAAAGTAATCTGATGTTGTACAGAACTCACTGCTGAGTTAAGCATGGTTAGATCATACAGAGGTAGTACATGTTCTTGAATGTGAGCTACCTTAAAGTGATCTGATGTTGTACAGAACTCACTGCTGAGTTAAGCATGGTTAGATCATACAGAGGTATAGTATCTGTTCTTGAATGTGGGCTACCTTAAAGTGATCTGATGTTGTACAGAACTCACTGCTGAGTTAAGTATGGTTAGATCATACAGAGGTAGTACATATTCTTGAATGTGAGCTAGCTTAAAGTGATCTGATGTTGTACAGAACTCACTGCTGAGTTAAGCATGGTTAGATCATACAGAGGTAGTACATGTTCTTGAATGTGGGCTACCTTAAAGTGATCTGATGTTGTACAGAACTCACTGCTGAGTTAAGCATGGTTAGATCATACAGAGGTATAGTACATGTTCTTGAATGTGAGCTGCCTTAAAGTGATCTGATGTTGTACAAACTCACTGCTGAGTTAAGCATGGTTAGATCATACAGAGGTAGTACAGGTTCTTGAATGTGGCCTACCTCAAAGTGATCTGATGTTGTCCAGGACTCACTGCTGAGTTAAGCATGGTTAGATCATACAGAGGTAGTACAGGTTCTTGAATGTGGCCTACCTCAAAGTGATCTGATGTTGTCCAGGACTCACTGCTGAGTTAAGCATGGTTAGATCATACAGAGGTAGTACAGGTTCTTGAATGTGGCCTACCTCAAAGTGATCTGATGTTGTCCAGGACTCACTGCTGAGTTAAGCATGGTTAGATCATACAGAGGTAGTACAGGTTCTTGAATGTGGCCTACCTCAAAGTGATCTGATGTTGTCCAGGACTCACTGCTGAGTTAAGCATGGTTAGATCATACAGAGGTAGTACAGGTTCTTGAATGTGGCCTACCTCAAAGTGATCTGATGTTGTCCAGGACTCACTGCTGAGTTAAGCATGGTTAGATCATACAGAGGTAGTTCATGTTCTTGAATGTAAGCTGCCTGTAGGTAAAAGTCTCACAGCTTGTCAACAAGACGTGTTCGCATTGCTTGTTCCCAGTTGTTGACAAGTCTGGAACAAGTTGTTATCATCTTGTAACAAGGTTGATGAGGCCAACAGACTCGCAACAAGTTGTTCCAACAAGTCTAATATCGTCTGCACATAACAAGTTGTTAACAAGTTGATGATAGCAAGCTCGTAGCAACTTGTTACGAACAGCCTGTATTAGTCTTGTTGGAACAACTTGTAGCAAGTCTGTTACAGTCATCAACCTTGTAACAAGATGATAACAACTTGTTCCAGACTTGTCACAACAACTGGGAACAAGCAGTGCGAACACATCCTGATATCGGCTTGACAACAACCTTGTTACAACTTGTTTGGAGATCTGTATAACAACTTGCGCGTTTTTACGCGTGCAGTTCAAGCACAAACAACGGCAGCTTATTTTAGACCACGACGTACACTTGACCTTCAGCCACCCCACGTTGGAGGTAACTGGTTCACGAACAAGTTTATCTATATTTAAAAACTTGAAATGCTCGCTACGAACAAACAAGAAGCCGTTTGTCCTGATTGCAGGTACTTAAGTGGAAAGGGAAACGTGTGGCTAGCTCTGTAAGACGTCCAGAACTTTAAAAACACTTGAAAATTCTCGCACGGATAAATTCCTGTCAATATATCCGTCCAAAAGTACTCCGAAATTGAGATGATGAAAACCAAGGATGAATATAAATTCTAATGCGATTTGTCTATTTTCGGCATGTTGACAACTTGTTGCCGGCTAAAGTTGTTCCAACGGCATGGCACAGCCCTGCAGTTTAACAAGTTGTGAGTGACAACCTTGTAGCAAATTAGCAACTTAAACCCTGTTTTACACTGGCAATTTTGTCACGGCGATTTTGTGTTTCTGACGGTTGAAAACAAGTGAACTAGCACACAAAAGTATAGAGTCGCTTTTCAGTAGTAAACAATTCTACGTCTTTTGCATGTCATTTCATTCGATCACATAAGTCAGGACGAGAAAAATCGCCGACAAGCTTGATGACTGAGTTCCCATAAGTTGTTGTGACAAGTCCACTTCTTGATGACGATAACTTGCTATGACAAGTTGTTCCAACAAGACTAATATACAGGCTGTTCGTAACAAGTTGCTACGAGCTTATTGTCGTCAACTTGTCAACAACTAGTGTTACGCGCAGACGATATCAGACTTGTTGGAACACCTTGTCGCGAGTCTGCTGGCCTACAAGATGATAACAACTTGTTCCAGAATTGTCACAACAACTGGGAACAAGCAGTGCGAACACATCCTGTTGACAAACAGCTTTGAAACTGTTCTCGTGTACATGACAACAGGTTCAAAGCCTGAAATGCGTGGTCTACCGTTTCAAAAAGTGGCCGAATTATACACAAGACGTTAAGCTTAGCCGGTTATAATACTGGCTGCAAATTCTGGCCAGTAAAACTGCATTAGTAAAGTATCGCTAAATCTCACAGAAAAATAAATCTCAGAATAAACTCAATCTACGACGGATTGTGAACCATACGAACTACAAAGAGCCGCTTATAAACATACAAGCTAGTTTATCCAAACGGCACGCGAAGTGGAGACGGTGGGCATGCGCTTGCGCGTGCCACGGCTGTACCGGTGCGTGTCCTCGTCCCCAGTTTGGCGCTGTTGCGCGCGTTTTCCCACGGTCACACAGACACCTCTTTGGAATGAACATTCCCGTGACCAAATACCAATAGTTCTAACTGGTGTTTAACAAAGAGGAGTCATTTTCATGTTTAAATACTTGGGGTTATTGTGTGGCTGCGTTTGGAATGGGCATTGAGCAGGGAAAGGACGCAACGTATAAAGGCAAAATGGCAGAAAGGCGCAAGGTATGATACAAGATATGGCTCAAGGTTTAGCATAAGCTATTAAGTTTGATGTAAAAACAAACGTACTTTCGGTTTAAAGAGCATAGTTTCCCTGTTGTCGAATTAATGATGCATTGGCTTTAAATGTATACACACACATGCTGTTTATATGTTTATAAATGCCGCGTATAGAAAATACGAAACGAAGCTAGCAGAGTTATCATCATATTTCTATACTTCAAAATGAAATTTCGCTTAAAAGAGACTGTTTTTCTTCGCTGGTCCAAAAATTAAGCTTAATAATGACTCATATTTGCATGTGTAATGGAATCATTTTATGTATATATACACACAACGAAACACAGATTTTCAACTTGATTCAATCGACTTAAAATTGAATTGCGCATATAGTTAAATTATAATAAATTTAAATTACGACAGCTTCATTTTCTCCTAGCTCTGTTCGTCAAAACCGTAGAACGTATATATGTCTATATAATGTAATAATGATGCAAATATACATTTTTAATAAGTTAACCCATTCTTGCTATATAAATTTTACATGTTTATTATACTGAAAATTGAAATGTCACCATTGCAATTTACAAATGCGTTGCATGCAGACTTAAAAATCTCAAAACGAAATTTAAACCCAGGGTCAGTTCTTGCTGTTTGTAAATGTACAGCGAATGTCTAATGATGCATATATATTTTAAAGCCGATGTATGGTCAAAGCCATGCAATCTATAGTTCCGCTTTACTAGCCATTTACTGCATTGTCTATAGCATACTTCGTAGGGTATATATATATTCAAAGATCATTGATGAATTTCGATGTGGATCGACTGAATCTTCTCTGCATTTTCGCCAAAATGAGTGAAAGTTAATAATGACCAATCATATATTTTAATGACAAAATGCGGCTACCTTTATAACACAGATCTAGTAAATTTTGTCTAGTAGGCTAAATTGACAAAAGGATTACATAGATTTATCAATTTCAAAAGCTCTGGCTACCGTGTGATATACAGATGTAGGCTATACGATTCAACGGAATACTTTTTGCTGTTTGTCTTGAATCAGAATCGGATCAATGCGGTCCATATTTTACTTTTAGTTCCTATAAATATACCATTTCTTTTAGATATACAGCACACAGCTCAGAAATAAAAATTCAATTATTAATTTAATCATTGAATGGTGCAATTACAATAAATTTAAATTTTGAGGACTATTTTTTCCCTGTTTATATAAAACGATATACCTAACGGCTAACGATTCATATTTCAATGTTGGTATACTGGCACTTCGCCCGTATAAACCATAGCACAGAATTAAAAATGGTTTACTATAATTTATTATAGCCAAGCAAGGCTAGAATCTCAGAATTATTTACGTCTAATAAGTTGTGCGAATCTCGTGCGCGGCTTATAGACATGGATTTGAATTTATTCTTTTATTGGTAGTGTCTCGGCAGTTTAGCCAACGAAGGCTGCAGACTTAATTATCTCAACTTCATCTTTAATAACACAGATGGTATTATAGGAATAATGTCTTTTATAGATTCATGATATATTTGAATAAATTCAAAAAGACGAACGCAAATATCAGCCGAATCGAAAATAATCCATCGTATCGCAAGGCCCTGAACAGGGTCAGAAAACACAATCGCACAAAGCGTCCTTTAGGAATGTATACCAGAATTAAAAAAAATTAATAACTTATAATTTACCGATATAAAGATTAAAAGTTCTCTTTGAGGGAATGTTAAACGATTTTTGTCCAAATTGTTTGTTGCTTTTGAAATTCCGGTTGAAGAATAGACAAAGCCCGGCTTTTTCGAGTACGTTCAAGGTGAAACTGGACCGTATTATGTCTTTGATTCAGTTGTGAAAGATAATGCATTCTTTTAACAAAATATTCGTTTTCAAAATCACTTTTGCAAAAGTCGTGCGCGGGTATAATATGCTTGCTTTATACATTAAGTACATAAACCTCATGAAATAAAGGATAATTTGAAAAAAACAACATCGAATACACGTTCCTGCGTCTTCAATCTCAAAATTTGAGGGCGTCCGTAACAGCTAATTAGAAAATGGCTTCGCATCACTGCTGTATTAAACAATGATATTTTTGGATGATAAAATTGTCTTCCTCAAATATTCAATTTCAAAATGAAACTGTTAAACTATTTGGCTAAAACTTCTCAACACAATTCGTGATGAGCGCTTTTAAAATGCAAGCACGCGCGGAAACATATATTTACTTACCAATATATATTGATGGCATGCATTAGATCAAAATAAGTCAGCGAACCTATTAAAGGAAATATAAATGGGTATAGCGTTGGGAACTGTTAAAAATGTATTTGTCTCTGAACTATACCTCAATAGATTCATATACTTGGACGATCGGAGCAAGAATAGGCAATTTAGTCAGGTCTTAGCTTGTAATCCGGCAAAATTTCTATTTCCGCGTTCAATCTTAAATATAATCAAAATTTATACTTCGTTTAGTCTTCGAAACCTATCATGGAAAAACGAAGACGAGAACGAATCAATAACAGCTTAAACGAACTGAAAAATTTGCTTCTTGAATCACGCAAAAAAGATGTAAGTAGCTATCTCAAATAATGTGTTTCAGGCCAAGAATACTATGCTTAAACTGGACTTCAACGATTGAGATATTTATAAGTATATAATTTAGCTTTTTGCATATTTCTTTAATAAAAACTCTAAGCCGTGTTTGAGTTCTGTGACACAATATTGTTGTCGCGTTTCCCGTCTACAAAGATTTATCGTATAGCAAGGAGTCGGACAACCCAGTTTCCGAAATCTATATATTGGCACGCTTATTAGCATTAAACACTTAATTAAATAATGGCACGATATTAAACCCGAATTGTGCTCTGGAGTTATAACTGAAACCGCGGAATTTTTTTTGTACTAAGCTGTAAGTCCCTGTGATCAAATCGGTGTTCTGATGAGCGCTATCATTATTGATCCAGTGTTACTACAGCAGGAAACCAAACTAAACTAACTTTATTTAAACTGGAAAGCTCTATCAGTTCTAAACTGTTCTTCCTAGAGGTCCAGTAAGGATGATCTCTTATTGCTCCAGTGTTACTACAGGAGGAAACCTAAACTAAACTAATTTTATTTATACTTGATAGCTCTATCAGTTCTAAACTGTTCTTCCTAGAGGTCCAGTAACGCTCATCTCTTAGCTTATTGATCCAGTGTTACTACAGGAGGAAACCTAAACTAAACTAACTTTATTTATACTGGATAGTTCTATCAGTTCTAAACTGTTCTCCCTAGAAGTCCAGTAACGATGATCTCTTATTGCTCCAGTGTTACTACAGGAGGAAACCTAAACTAAACTAACTTTATTTATACTTGATAGCTCTATCAGCTCTAAACTGTTCTCCCTAGAGGTCCAGTAGGATAATCTCATATTGATCCAGTGTTACTACAGGAGGAAACCTAAACTAAACCAACTTTATTTACACTTGATAGCTTCATCAGTTTTAAACTGTTCTTCCTAGAGGTCCAGTAAGGATCATCTCTTATTGATCCAGTGTTACTACAGGAGGAAACCTAAACTAAACCAACTTTATTTACACTTGATAGCTTCATCAGTTTTAAACTGTTCTTCCTAGAGGTCCAGTAAGGATCATCTCTTATTGATCCAGTGTTACTACAGGAGGAAACCTAAACTAAACCAACTTTATTTACACTTGATAGCTTCATCAGTTTTAAACTGTTCTTCCTAGAGGTCCAGTAAGGATCATCTCTTATTGATCCAGTGTTACTACAGGAGGAAACCTAAACTAAACCAACTTTATTTACACTTGATAGCTTCATCAGTTTTAAACTGTTCTTCCTAGAGGTCCAGTAAGGATCATCTCTTATTGATCCAGTGTTACTACAGGAGGAAACCTAAACTAAACCAACTTTATTTACACTTGATAGCTTCATCAGTTTTAAACTGTTCTTCCTAGAGGTCCAGTAAGGATCATCTCTTATTGATCCAGTGTTACTACAGGAGGAAACCTAAACTAAACCAACTTTATTTACACTTGATAGCTTCATCAGTTTTAAACTGTTCTTCCTAGAGGTCCAGTAAGGATCATCTCTTATTGATCCAGTGTTACTACAGGAGGAAACCTAAACTAAACCAACTTTATTTACACTTGATAGCTTCATCAGTTTTAAACTGTTCTTCCTAGAGGTCCAGTAAGGATCATCTCTTATTGATCCAGTGTTACTACAGGAGGAAACCTAAACTAAACCAACTTTATTTACACTTGATAGCTTCATCAGTTTTAAACTGTTCTTCCTAGAGGTCTAGTAAGGATCATCTCATATTGATCCAGTGTTACTACAGGAGGAAACCTAAACTAAACCAACTTTATTTACACTGCATAGCTTCATCAGTTTTAAACTGTTCTTCCTAGAGGTCTGGTAAGGATCATCTCTTATTGATCCAGTGTTACTACAGGAGGAAACCTAAACTAAACTAACTTTATTTATACTGGATAGCTCTAGTATTTATACTGGTAAGGTTTTCCATTGATTTGCTTTCATTGCAAAGTTATGGGCTGTGCAAACATAGCAATTGGTAAAATTCGTCTGAGATCGAACACCACTTTAAAATGACGCACTTTGCCCTATTCAAAAGGGCGCAGTTGAAAGTCCAACACTTTAAAACAAAAAGAGTTCGGCACTTAAAAGACGCATTCCAACAAAAAGACTGTCAACATGATATTATTGCCACAACAGGGCAATAAGGAAATCAATTTCCTTATTTGAATTGAGAGTAACTTTACCGGGCGGTGGCAACTCAGTGTCTTAATGTATTGTGCTTTGGAGGAAACTCTTACTGAATTATTAATGACTGAACTGTCATGTTGCCATCCCTGATGATGTTTTATTTATTGTCATGAATCATCTCAATCGTTGTGGTCCAGTGCAGGTAGTATTCTACAATAAGCTGTCGTGGTTTGTGTCTGAACTACCTGAAAAAGATATCTCAAACGTGGTGGTCCAGTGTAGGTAGTATTCTACAATAAGCTGTCGTGGTTTGTGTCTGAACTACCTGAAAAAGATATCTCAAACGTGGTGGTCCAGTGTAGGTATTCTACAATAAGCTGCCGTGGTTTGTGTCTGAACTACATGAAAAAAGATATCTCAAACGTGGTGGTCCAGTGTAGGTAGTATTCTACAATAAGCTGTCGTGGTTTGTGTCTGAACTACCTGAAAAATATATCTCAAACGAGGTGATCCAGTGTAGGTAGTATTCTACAATAAGCTGCCGTGGTTTGTGTGTGAACTACCTGAAAAAGATATCTCAAACATGGTGGTCCAATGTCGGTAGTATTCTACAATAAACTGTTATGGTTTGTGTCTGAACTATCTGAAAAAGATATCTCAAACGTGGTGGTCCAATGTCGGAAGTATTCTACAATAAGCTGTTATGGTTTGTGTCTGAACTATCTGAAAAAGATTACGACCAATTCAAGGTTACTTTTTTTCATTTTTTAACCAGAGTACATCATGTTGTTCAAAGTTGGAAAAGGCAGACATATTGGAAATGACAGTCCAGTATTTAAAATCAATACGCAGTCAGCAGGAGAAAGGTGAGAACTGGCGAATACCTCGGCTTAATTGAGCAAACACAACAAATCCAAAATCTAAACAACATATTGAAATGCAACTCACCGATGACTGCGGGCTTAAACACATTCCCAATTTGCGATCTGAAAAATAAACATAGACATATGTCAAATTTGGTAATATTGAATACAATAGAGCTCGTATAACGAAGCCATTGAATCTACATAGGTTTTGTGACATGTTCGTTTAGATTCGGTTTCCTCCTGTAGTAACACTGGATCAATAAGAGATGATTCTTACTGGACCTCTAGGAAGAACAGTTTAGAACTGATAGGGCTATCCAGTGTAAATAAAGTTAGTTTAGTTTAGGTTTCCTCCTGTAGTAACACTGGATCAACAAGATAGTATGACTCTTACTGGACCTCTAGGAAGAACAGTTTAGAAGTGATAGAGCTATCCAGTATAAATAAAGTTAGTTTAGTAAAGGTTTCCTCCTGTAGTAACACTGGATCAATAAGAGATGATCCTTACTGGACCTCTAGGAAGAACAGTTTAGAAGTGATATAGCTATGCAGTATATATAAAGTTAGTTTAGCAAAGGTTTCCTCCTGTAGTAACACTGGATCAATAAGAGATGATCCTTCCTGGACCTCTAGGAAGAACAGTTTAGAAGTAATAGAGCTATCCAGTATATGTAAAGTTAGTTTAGTAAAGGTTTCCTCCTGTAGTAACACTGGATCAATAAGAGATGATTCTTACTGGACCTCTAGAGAGAACAGTTTAGAACTGATAGAGCTATCCAGTATAAATAAAGTTAGTTTAGTTTAGGTTTCCTCCTGTAGTAACACTGAATCAATAAGTGATGATTCTTACTGGACCTCTAGGGAGAACAGTTTAGAACTGATAGAGCTATCCAATATAAATAAAGTTAGTTTATAGGTTTCCTCCTGTAGTACTGTAACACTGGATCAATAAGTGATGATTCTTACTGGACCTCTAGGAAGAACAGTTTAGAACTGATAGAGCTATCTGGTATAAATAAAGTTAGTTTAGGTTTCCTCCTGTAGTAACACTGAATCAATACGAGATGATCCTTACTGTAATTACTGGACCTCTAGGGCGAATAGTTTTAGAACTGATAGTGCTATATCCAGTAATTTTAGTACCAAAGTTATCACTCCACTTATATATTGAGCTACCTTCGGCACAGCTGGTACTTCGACAGTCAAGTGGTTGCTTAGCACGAAAGCAGGAATGCTTCAGTGAGCGCTTTATTCCAATATCAATGGTTCATCATTTTGTGATAATTAGCTTAATAATGATTTGGAATTCGAGTAATCTGCTCTGAAGCACTTAAATGGCCACAAAACGTACTTGAAAAATCACTATGCTTTTAACAATTGCCTTAAAAAGCCGTCAATTATTTGCGAGTTGTTGTTAATGCAAGTCTGCTAAATTTAGAATTGGGTCTTGAACTTGGCCCGGGAAGAATTAATAATTGATTTTTTTGGGTGGAAACATTTAAAAGCTTCAAACATCCGGAGTACGAGAGCTCTTTCTTCTCTTAAACAATGCGGAAGGATAGTTCACAATTTAACACCAGCATCTTATTGTTTTTGCCGTAGACCGTAGTTATTAATGCAAGCTTGTAGTTACTAAATGATTTTAAACGACCAAGCATTTGTATCCAAACAAATTAATTTTGCACAAATGAAGGGCATTTAGTTTTCGATTTCTGATTCATTGGCGTTGCTGATATAGGTGGACCTTTACGAAGAACAGTTTAAAACTGATAGAGTCATCCAGTATAAAGTTAGTTTAGTTTAGGTTTCCTGCTGTAGTAACATTGGATCAATAAGAGATGATCCTTACTGGACCTCTAAGAAGAACAGTTTAGAACTGATAGAGCTATCCAGTATAAATAAAGTTAGTTTAGTTTAGGTTTCCTCCTGTAGTAACACTGGATCAATAAGAGATGATTCTTACTGGACCTCTATAGGAAGAACAGTTTAGAACTGATAGAGCTATCCAGTATAAAGTTAGTTTTGTTTAGGTTTCCTCCTGTAATAACACTGGATCAAAAAGAGATGATCCTTCCTAGACCTCTAGGAAGAACAGCTTAGAACTGATAGAGCCATCCAGTATCAATAAAGTTAGTTTAATTTAGGTTTCATCATGTAGTAACACTGGATCAATAAGAGATGATCCTTACTGGACCTCTAGGAAGAACGGTTTAGAACTGATAGAGTTATCAACTATAAATAAAGTTAGTTTGGTATAGGTTTCCTTCTGTACAGTAACACTGGATCAATAACCTTATTGGACTTCTAAAGAGAACAGTTTAGTATTGATAGAGCTATCCAGTATAAATCGAGTGATGTTCATTTCATCTTATTAATTTCAGCGTCAACAACAACAGACCCAATGGCCCTAGCTCACTACAGAGCAGGTTTTAACCACAGCGCTATGGAGATAAGGCGATTTCTGATTGACACGCCAGATATTGAAGTGAAAGTCCGCGCCAGACTCCTAACACACTTATCTAACAGTTGCCACGCCGTGCTAAGCAATCAAGCATCAACAAAACAATATTACCCCTCAGTCTACCCTACATCCATCCATCAATCACCCGAAGTATCAACGCCGATCCTAAAAGATCCATCGTTATCCACATCAATCCTAAGCGATCCATCAATATCAACAATTACCCCTCGCGAACCATTACCGTATTATTTTAACCCCTCGTTGCAACTGATGCCCACTCCCCTAACGAACGGAACATTAGCGGCCGTATTAGTGCCCACTCCTAATTTTTATACCGCGCTGCCGCAGCCGCAAATATTGCCGAGTCAGCAATTTAAACTAGAGCCAAGCTCTCCGACGTCTACAACAACACACGGCCATGAACTCTCTGGGAAAATTGCGGATACTTCAAACAATGATAGCGTTTTAACTTCAATGCGTCAAAATAGTACTTCTCGCACTAGTTCACAGGCCCCTGAGCCAGACGATGGCAACGTCTGGAGGCCATGGAGTTAAACGCTGACCAAATAATTAAATAATCGTGGGCGCAGTAAAGGCAAAATTGGGCGGTAGTGCGCCTATATAGACGTTAAATTTGCTCGAATGAATAAATCGCCGGCAATATTTATAAAAAACATGTAGCCCTAAATTAAACACATAACAAACATATTTATATACCAGTTTGCACTCAATTCACTGAAAGTACACTAAAGTTACCTTTGCCATTATATGCTTACATTATCAGAACAGTGGTAACTAGCGGTATGTGAGTTATCAATTCACTCACATATATAATTTAAATGCTTGGCTATCTTTGTTTCATTCTATGCTTACATTATCAGAACAGTGGTAACTAGGCATATGAATTATCAATTCACTCACATATATAAACCAAATGCTTGGCTACCTTTAGTCCATTCTACAGTGTATAAAAAAACTAAACCCTTTCAAATTCAAATTAGCTATAACGTATTGTAATTTGACAGCTCTAAATGCTTTAAATTAATGGTTGGGTAAGAACACAAGGTCTTGTACTCATGGGACAAAACTCAAAGAAATAAAAATGACAAAATTTAAAGGAAATACAGTATTTCTCTTAAATACAGTATTTCTTTTCCGTCCCGTGAGTACAAGACCTTGTGTTCTCACCCAACATTAATTCAAAGCAATTCGAGCTGTCAAATTACTACAATGCGTTATAGCCAATTTGAATTTGAAAGGGTTCACTTTTTTTTCGAGACACACTGTATGCTTACATTATCAGCACAGTGGTAACTAGGCATGTGAGTTTTCAGTTCACTCACATATATAACTTAAATGCTTGGTTATCTTTGTTCCATTCTACGCTTACATTATCAGAACAGTGGTAACTAGGCATGTGAGTTATCAATTCACTCACATATATAATTTAAATGCATCTTTGTTCCATTCTATGCTTACATTATTAGAACAGTGGTAACTAGGCATGCATGCTATATAGTTATTTGAAAATGTGAATTGGGTGCATATAGACTTCATATATACTCACCATAATTATTCATAAATTTTATGTGAATTGGGTGCATATAGACTTCATATATACTCACCATAATTATTCATAAATTTTATACTTAAAAATTCATAATGGGGTATCAAAATACCAACTTTAAAATGAATATGTTTTGTGATATGTTTTTAATTTCCTAACCAAGAAATTTTAAATGTAGTGTTTTTAGAGTATAGTTTTAGAGTATAGTCGCAAAACATGTTCAAAAAGATTGGCGAGGAACCGCACAATGTATACTTCACGTTGAAGGAAATTATTTAAAGATCATTTTAAAAGTAGTATATATTCTTCTGTGAAGAACTTGTCATATTTCACTGCCTTATGAGCAGAGAATACATACATACATACAAAACTTTATTTAGACCACGCTAGCCTCAACAGCCGTTGGAAGGCTGGTTTCCATGAGGGGCGTGAAATTACCTATTTACAAAAAGTTAACTATATACA